TTTTAATATAGTTTGACTCCAAACCTAACCCTAACTCCAAAATCTGATGATTTACAAGTTGAATGTAGACTACAAACTTTTTTTTTTTTGGCCAGATAGTTTTAAATTAGAATTAGTTGACAGCATTTAAAAACTGGGAGATTTTATGTAAAAATTCAGAGTCCTGGCTTCTCTTGAAAAATCTGCAAGATTTGGTAATATCGGCCGTATGTTCCTTCATGGCAACCATCAGTTGGAGCTAAGTAGTAGCAATGTCCTCTCTCCAATCCCGCATCATCCCCTAATCCCAACCCACCGCCTTCCAGCAATGAGTTAAGTGTCAGTTTTCATTTATCATTTTATGTCCAGTCCATTTTTATTACCAGCCTGGCACTTGTAGGCATGTAAGTTTGTAACCCTTGATAAGAAAGTAAGTAATAGGAGAGCAGAGACCTTGTTTATCTTTATACCTCTGTATTCTCTGGCTCTAACTCAAAAGTTTTTTGTTGAATGGGTAAATTTTTATTTCAGAATATATCTACTAAACTTAAAATCAAGTTGGAAGGAAAAGTGGATGAGTATATATAGAATTGTTAAAGATAAAATGAAAATGATACACTTTTGCTAATATGGGTTGGCTTTGGGCTCAAAGGACTATAAAACTTCAAACAGACTAAGAGGGAACAAAGCTAATCCTTTCAAATGAAAAACAATGAGCAAATTCATTTATAAATGCATATACCATATTTGCTATCACACTAACACATTAAATGTAAGGTGATTATATTTAGATATGTAAGTTAGATTTAGATATGTAATTATAGAAGAAATAAACTTTAGTTTTCCTCTTTAAAAAAAATTTAAAAGTAAACAAGAAATGCATGCTCATTGTAGAAAAATTATAAAATACACAGAACTAAAAAAAACCAGTCATCCTACTACTCAGAGGTAACAATGGATAATATGTTAGTGTATATTTTGATAAACCTCTTTTGACTGATAGAAACAGATGTGTGATTCAGATTTATGTATACATACATAATTACACTTTAAAAAACAGCTTATTTCGGGCAGAAGACATGAAGAGACATTTTTCCAAAGAAGACATCCAAATGGCCAACAGACACATGAAAAAGTGCTCAACATTGCTCGGCATCAGGGAAATCCAAATCAAAACCTCAATGAGATCCCACCTCACACCAGTCAGAATGGCTAAAATTAACAAGTCAGGAAACGACAGATGTTGGCGGGGATGCGGAGAAAGGGGAACCTTCCTACACTGTTGGTGGGAATGCAAGCCGGTACAGCCACTCTGGAAAACAGTATGGAGGTTCCTCAAAAAGTTGAAAATAGAGCTACCCTATGACCCAGCAATTGCACTACTGGGTATTTACCCCAAAGATACAAATGTAGGGATCCGAAGGGGTACATGCACCCCAATGTTTATAGCAGCAGTGTCAACAATAGCCAAAGTATGGAAAGAGCCAAGATGTCCATCAACGGATGAATGGATAAAGAAGATGTAGTGTATATACACCATGGAATAGCATGCAGCCATCAAAAAAATGAAAGCTTGCCATTTGCAAAGACGTAAATGGAACTAGAGGGTATTATGCTAAGCAAAATAAGTCAATCAGAGAAAGACAAATACCATATGATCTCACTGATATGAGGAATTCTTAATCTCAGAAAACAAACTGAGGGTTGCTGGAGTATTGGGGGGTGGGAGGGATGGGTGGCTGGGTGATAGACATTGGGGAAGGTACGTGCTATGGTGAGCGCTGTGAATTATGTAAGACTGATGAATCACAGACCTGTACCTCTGAAACAAATAATACATTATATGTTAAAAAAAAAAAAAAAAGATAGCAGGAAGGGAAAAATGAAGGTGGGGAAATTGGAGGGGGAGATGAACCATGAGAGACTATGGACTCTGAGAAACAAACTGAGGGATTTAGAGGGGAGGAGGGTAGGGGGATGGGTTAGCTGCGTGATGGATATTAAGGAGGGCACGTATTGAATGGAGCACTGGGTGTTATATGCAAACAATGAATCATGGAACACTATATAAAAAACTAATGATGTAATGTATGGTGACTAACATAACATAATAAAATAAAATTAAAAAAAACCCCAGCTCATTTCTGATCTTGGAAAAACTGATTCAATTCAGCCAGTATTTACAGATTGCCATGTGCAAGGTACTATAATTCATTTATAAATGCATATACCATATTTTGCATTAATTCCAAGATACTACATCAACCTTTTTTCAAAATTATGAAAGAATTGAATTGTTTAAAAGAGCAGATGTGAGAACAGTTGAAGAAAATTACTATAAGAGGAAATGCGGCAGAATGGAAAGAGGACTCAAATTTGGGCTTTAGTCCTCAAGCACTGTGTGACCTTGAATAAATTACTGAAAGTGCCAGGTTAACTCATTTATGACACTGGAGGGTCCTTATGAGAATTAAAGGAGATTATGGCATAGAATGTTTGGAACATGATACCCACATACATAATAGTTTTGTTCATTATCATCATTATTATATTGATCAAATTATGTTGTTAATATACCATCTTAATAAGAGGAACTGAAGTGGAAATAGAAATAAAGTTTAAGAATTCAATGGATACAACTCAACAGCAAAGACCCCAAATAATTCTATTAAAAAATGGACAAGGGCGCCTGGGTGGCTCAGTTGGTTAAGCAACTGCCTTCAGCTCAGGTCATGATCCTGGAGTCCCGGGATCGAGTCCCGCATCGGGCTCCCTGCTCAGCAGGGAATCTGCTTCTCCCTCTGACCCTCTCCCCTCTCGTGCTGTCTCTCTCTCATTGTCTCTCTCGCAAATAAATAAAATCTTAAAAAAAAAAAAATTAAAAAAAAAATGGACAAAAAGCCTGTAAAGACATTTTTCCAAAAAAACATACAAATGGCCAAAAGGTATTTTTGTGAAAAGGTGCTCAACATCACTAATCATTAGGAAAATGCAAATCAAAACTACAATGACAGGGGCACCTGGGTGGCTCAGTCGTTAAGCGTCTGCCTTTGGCTTGGGTCATGATCTCAGGGTCCTGGGATCGAGCCCCGCATCAGGCTCATGGGAAGCCTGTATCTCCCTCTCCCACTCCCCCTGCTAGAGTTCCCTCTCTCGCTGTGTCTCTCTCTGTCAAATAAATAAAATCTTAAAAAAAAAAACAACTACAATGAGAGATCACCTCACACCTGTTAGGATGGTTTTTATCAAAAAGATAAGAGATGGTAAGTGTTGGCAAGGAAGTGGCAAAAAGGGAACCATTACATACCACTGGTAGGAATGCAAATTGGTGCAGCTACTATGGAAAATAGTATGGCGGCTACTCAAAAAATTAGAAACAACTACCATATGATCCAGCAATCACACTTCTGGGTATATATCTGAAGCAAACGAAACCATTATCCCCAAGAGATATCTACACTCCCATGTTCACTGCAGCTTATTCACAATAGCCAAGATATGGAAAAAAGCAAAGTAACCACTGACAGATGAATGGATAAAGGAGATGTATGTGTGTGTGTGTGTTTGTGTATTTATTTATTTCAGCCATGACAGAGAATGAAATCCTATTTGATAACAAGGATGAACTTAGAGAACATTATGCTAAGTGAATAAGCCAGAGAAAGACAAATACTGTATGATCTCACTTATATGTGGAATCTTAAATAAAAAAAAAATTAAGCTCCTAGAAGCAGAGAGTAGAATGGTGGTTGGGGATAGGGGAAATGAGGAGATGCTGATCAAATGCTGTAAGCCTTCAGTTATAATAAGTTCTGAAGATCAAATGTACAGCATGGTGACTACAGATGATAGTATTGTACACTTGAAATTTGTAAGAGTACGTCTTAAGCATTCTTACCACACACACACAAAAACAAAAAGTAACTATGTGAGGTGGTAGATGTCTTAATTAACCTGTGTTAATCACTTCTTCAAATATATACAACTTTACTTGTCAATTATGTCTCAATAAAGCTGGGTAAAAAAAAGAATTAAACTAACTTAAGATTTTGAGGAAGTGAATTTTCTACCTCCAAATTATGTCTCACAAAACTGAGGTACTTTAAAAAAGTGGAATACAAAATCTGCTTAGATGGGATTTTTATACCAGTACATTTATAAAACTAGGAGCTAAAAAAAGAAATAGGTAAAAATATCCGGATATCTTGAAGTTCCTTGTTTGAAGAACTTGCTTTTGCAGAGCTTTGCCCATATAATTTTAAGAAATATTTGAAATTGTTAGATGTTATCTCAGAAGACAATCACTTTATATATACTTACAGAATGGTGTTTATTACATTGTAGTATAATTATTTTAAAATTTCTCTCTACCTCTATCTTATCCTTATCTCAAGGGTAAGGGGTTTATCTTAGGCATTTTTTGTACTTTCCATCTTCCTTTTTTCACTTCCATAGTATGTTATGTAGCTCACATTGAATAATTATTTATTGATAAAATAACTTCGTGAAGAAACCAAGACTCCTATAGCTTTAATTCCAAGAGGAATTAAAAAGGGGAACTAACACAGGCCTGTGTCTGGTTATCAAAATAGTAGCACCTTGGGGGACCCGGCTGGCTCAGTTGGTACAGTATGTGACTCTTCATCTCAGGGTTATGAGTTTGAGCCCCACACTGAGTGAGATTACTTAGAAAAATAAAATCTTAAAAAAAAAAAGTAGCACCTGAATTACTTAAGTGGATTTTTCATAATGACTCCAGGTCCTGACTCATCAAGATTAAGAAGTGTGGGTTAAGGATACAGAAGGCAAAGTTTAATGTGAGTGTGTTTGCACATCTCAATGAATTCAGAAGCATATAGAAAATGTTTTTAAATTATTAATTTTTAATATCTCCTCAGGCCCTCTAACAGAAGATAGGAGAAAGCTCTGAAAAGAGTGGAATGATACGGCCACTATTAACAGAAAGATCTTTCAAATTCCCTCTGAAAAATAAAAAAGAGAGCAAAGAGAGTTTAACCTACCTCTCTCTTTGCAAAGGACAAAAAGGAATTCAGCAGCAATTTGCTTGACTCCAAGGTCAACATGTGTCATGAGGCGCACCAGCTTATTTCTCACAGTTGAGCCAACTTCAGGTCGATTTGTCACATCCCTCAATGGTGGTAAAACCTAATGGCAGAAATGCAAAAACCATCATCAGTCATGGGGTACTAGAGTAAGTGAGGATGGTACCATGCAACTGGTCAGTCTTATAATGTCTAGGAGCTCAGTTTTGTAAGAGTGGAAAAAGCTTTTAAAAACTAAATAGGTGTGCTTCCAGATAAAACAAAACAAAACAAAACCCTCAAATGATTTCATGCGTGTAATGAAATTTCATTTGAAGAGAAACACCTCTTCACTGTACCACCATGAAATACTCTAATTTGTTTGAGTTTTTAATCACCAAAGCATCTGGAATGCCTTTGCCTGCCTCTATCAAAATCCATTTTAAAGTCAGGGTCAAGTTTCTCCTTCCACAGGGCCTTCCTTAATACTTATACTCCTATTGATTTTCCCCTTCTTGTAATTCCTGCAGCATTTTCAGTATTTACTAAAAAAATCTGTACTTAGGTTTTCTTGTTTTATTTTATAATAAAAAAATTTATTATTTTTTTATTTTAATATAATCTATTAATTACTGAATACTTTCTAGGTGCTAGTTGCTATAATAGAGGATATACATACATTCTCTATAATCAATCTCCACAGTAACCTTGCAAAGGAGGTAGTAACATCACTATCGTCCCTACTTGATTGATTGATCCACAGAGGGCTTAGGACACTTCTTGGTTTGTCTGTTTTTTTGCTCACTCACTCACCTATTCATCCACCCAGACCGCTCCCTCTTCAGGATCTCCTCCTATTTCAACTGGTTGCTTCATCTCAGCATCTTCTGACAATTCTCTTTCTCCTCTTTCTAAGTATTGGAATATTCAAGGGTTGAGCTCTTGGGCAACATTCTTCACTATTTTCACTTAATCTACTGGTGATCTTATCCAGTTTTATGGCATTATATGGTCTCTATATACTGAGAACTCCCTAAATTATATTTCTATCTTGATTCTTTACTGACTTCCAGACTTTTATAGGCCTCTCAAATTTAGCATGTCCTAAACAGAACTCTTGATGCTCCCACCAAAGCTGTTCCTTCTTAGTTTTCCATCTCACTAAATGGTAAGTCTATTTTTCCAACTGTTTAGTACAAACACCTTGGAAATAAAATAGCCTTTTCTCTTTCACACTCCATAACTAACCACAAGCAAATTATATTGTTTCTACCTCTGAAATATATCCATAATTCAGCCACTTCTCACTACCCGCTCTAATATTATTAAATCCAAGTTACCAATATGTCTCACCTGAACTGATTATTACCACAACCTCTCAGTGTTCTCTGCTTTCATCCTGGTCCTTCTAATGATTTCTTCTCTACAAAGCAGCTAGGGATCCTCTGAAAGTCAGATCATGTCATTCCTGTTCTCAAAGTCCTCCAGTTCTTAGGGCTTCTCATCTTACAGTGAAAAACAATGTCCTTACAACTCCATTAGTTTTCACATAATCCAGCTTCCTGCTATTTTTCTAACTTCATTTCTACTGTACTCCTGGCCTACACCGCTACAGCCGCACAGACCTACCTGGAACCCCTTACGCACACCCCTCACTTTCCTGTCTCACGGTCTTTGCGTTTGCTGCTCCCTCTGCCCAGAAACTCTTTCTCTAGAAACTTGCATGGCTCATTCCTTACTTCAGGTCTGTGTTCAAATGTCACTTATAGGAAGACATTTCCTGACCACCCTATATGACCTCTCTTTTTTTGTGCACCACCCTCCTCCAACCATTTTAATCTTTCTCACAGCACTCCTCACCACCTGATAACAGTATATATTTCTTTACTGTTAGCCTTCTTCTACAAGAGTCAGTGCCATGGGGGCAGGGATTTCTTACTGCTCTCAGTGCATGGCATATTACAGGTGTTTAATAAATATTTGTTGACTGAAGGAAGAATGGATTAATTCAAATATCTTTTTTTATTTTAAGTAATCTCTACACACAATGTGGGGCTTGAATTGACAACCCCGAGATCAAGAGTTGTATGCTTTACTGACTGAGCCAGCCAGGCACTCCTCAAATATCTTTTTAAAAGTGCCTTCTATAAGCTAGGCACTATGAGAGGAAATGAGGATAAAAACGAAGTCAATTTACTGTGCCAGGCCCTTCATGTGTATATCATTTTATTTAGTCCATTCAATTGACTTCTTTCCTCTCTCTCTTTCTATACTGAGTGCCTACCATGTATCAGGAGGTATTGGAGGTGCTGTGAACACAAATGGCAACTAAATCTCAGAAAATTGAATCATCTACCCAAAGTATTTACACAGAAGCCATATTTCAGTATTTCTGATAGGGTAGAGCACCAGGATTTCTATGCTCTATAAGCACAAGGTCATTGCTATGCAATGTAAATCCTTATTATCTGATTCAGCCAACCATACTGAGTTTTATATGGTCTCTGTATACTGAATGTATTGACGAATGAGATATCTAACAAGTGATTTCATGTAGCATGTGCCTATTGTTCCAGAGTAAAGAATCTATTAACAAAAGTTATCACTCCAAAATTTTGTTAGCTATGTTTTGGGTTTCTTAAAAACAAGTTTTTTAAAATAGAAGTTTGTTGCTTTTATTCTTATATATCACTTCCAGACAAACTGCATTTGTATGGACTCATTCTATTTCCTCCCAAATATTACCCTCCAACAATCTTCTTTCTTTTCTTTGACAAATCTTGTTCATTTCCTCTTTCAAATCCACAGAATCTCGTCTCTTTTGTAAGCCTTTCCAGACTAACCCAACCTGGGTCAGTAATTTCTACCATCTGTTCTTTTTCTACCCGCCTAAATACTTAAGATCAATTTCCTTTGGGTATGTATGAGTTGGATTTAATCAGGTATTAACTACAGGGCATAATAATTAATTAGCCATCATTCCATTTATACTATTACCAAAATTAATCATCTGTTACTTTACATTCTGCCTTTCTTAATCATCATAGTTTAGACTGCATCTTTCTCAGAAGGAAAGTTGATTTTTTTGTGTGTCTTGTATCTTAGTCATCTTTACCTGTCATGTTTAATCTCTTTATACCGTAGTGCTTCTTTGAGGACAAAAAGTGGGTCTAATAATCTTTGTGTCCACATAATATGTGGCCCAAGGCCTTCATATAAAGTTGTTTAACAAACAGGTTTTTTTTTACTATCTTGGTCAGAGATAGCAAAATCTAAACAGTTCAATTGAACCTGGATCTCCTATGAAAAAAAGCTAAAATATAGAAAACTTAAAATATTTTTCATTTATTATTCTTTACCAAGTACTCCTAGTCACAGTAGAATGTCTTAAAATAATCAAATTGGAAATGACCTTAATTCATTAACTATTTTATTTGATTTAAATGATTATTCATGCTTTCATGGTACTACTCTCTTCTTCCAATGGACTGTAAATTCCTCAAAGAAAGAGTCTCTACTTTCTAATCTCTCCTTAGCATCAGTATCTACTAATGTGCTTCACATGTAATAAGGTGCTTACTGAATCTTGACCATAAACATAAAGGGAGAAAATGAAGCTGGTTCATTTAACAAGGGAAATTCTACATGGCAAAAAAAGAGCAGTGGGGTGAATGGTGGTACCATGTATGGGGAAATGTGGAAAGAAGGAAAGAAACAGGGTGAAGGGATGGGAAATCAAGAGCTTGGTTTGGGATATGTTAAACTTAAGACCTCTACTATACATCCAAGGGGAGGAGATGAGTAGGCAGCTTGTTATGTCAGTCTGGAGCTGAGGGGACAGGTCAGGGCTAGAGATATAAATTTGGGAGTCATCAGCATATAGATGATTTTCAAAACCATGACTGCTGAATGAGATCACCAGGGGAGTGGGAGTGGAGACAAAGACAATATTGTCTCGGGGCGCTCAGACATTGCAAAGAGGTTCCCTATTGTGTCCTAGAAACCAAGTGAAGAAAGTATTTCAAGAAGGACAGAATACTCAGTTACATCAAAATGCATTGGGGGAATGCATTTAGAAAAAAAAAGATTTGAGAACTATCGGATTTGGCAATACTGGGTTGGTGACTTTTGAGGAGCACCTTTGCAGTGGGGTGGAAAGCATGAAAGCCTAATTTTGGTGGATTCAGGAGAAAAAGATGAGTAAAAAGAATAGAGAGGGTGAGTATGGAAAACTCTTCTGGGGAACACTGCACTAAGAAGAGCAGAGTGATAGGGAGGCAGCTTGAGAAGTGAAATTGAGGGAAGGTTTTTTGTTTTGTTTTGTTTTTAAGATGGAAGATGTGTTTGGGTGAAGATAGAAATGACCCAGTACATTAAAAAAAAAAAAAAAAAAAAGATTAATGTAAGAAGAGAGGAAATAAATGCAGGAGCAAAGTTCCTGAGAAGGTGAGAAGGAAAGGAATCCAGGGCACAAGTGCAGAGGCTGGCCTCAGAAGAAAGTGGGGACAATTCACCCATTATGATAGAAGGGGAGACAAAGGATATATGATAATGGGCAGATGGACAGAAGACCAGCGGTGGAAAGAATTCTTACCATGAACTCTGCTACCCATCCTACTCCAAACCTTCACCATCAGTTCTCTTTTCAACTGGCCTCCTTGCATCTACTCACATTCTCCTAGTCTATCCTACATACAGTAGCAGAGTATTTTAAAATATAAATGACATCCCCTTCATTTAACTCCCCTTCTCAAAATGGTCCAGTGCTTTCCCATCTCACTTAGAAGAGAATCACAAGTCCTATACAACCTTAGGCCATCTGGTTCTTGCTTACTTTTTTTACTCCTTGCCAACTTGGTCTAGCCTCCTTGCTTTTCCATAAGCATGCCAAAGCATCCTCTCATCTCAGGGACTTTGACTTTTTTCTCTTTACATTCCTCTTCCAGATTTTCTGAGATCCTTTTCTTACTTATCCAAATTTCTGCTCAAATGTCACTTTCTCAGAGAGGCCCTCCCCATTCCCCTAAGACTCCCCTTCTCCTGCTGTCTTTCTTTAGAACATATCATTACATGACATTATAACATAAATGTATTCATTTCCTTTTTGTTCCCCCACTGTAAGGTAAACTCCACAAGGCAAAGACTTCATCTGTCTTTCAGTGCTTAGAAGACAACACAAAGTAGATCTCAACTATTTGTTGAATAAGTGAATGAATGACTCAGAAAAAATACTTTTTTCTGGATTAGGAAGATTTCAAAGATTAAAACTAACTTTTCTGAGTTTCTGATTATATGAAAGAAAACCATTATGAAAGAATGCAACTCATTAATTCTATTTTTAAAAACCATATATAAGAAGATTAACTAAGAGGAGTAATTTGCATTAAGCAGTTACCTGATCTTTGAGAAATTTTCTGATGTTTCGATGGGCTCGGGAACATTCTGTTAATAAGCTGAGAACTGGAGTGAGACCTTCTCTATAGCTGCTTCCCTATAAAGAAAATCAGACATACTGTATTAGTTTCTTTTTCTTTTTTTTTTTTTTAAAGATTTTATTTATTTATTCATGAGAGACAGAGAAAGAGAGAGAGGCAGAGGGAGAAGCAGGCTCCCAAGGAGCAGGGAGCCAGACGTGGGACTCGATCCCAGGACCCTGGGATCATGACCTGAGCCGAAGGCAGACGCTTAACCATCTGAGCCACCCAGGTGCCCACTGTATTAGTTTCTAACAGTATTACCTTCCTCTGTATAACTGAGCATATTAATACTCCTTTTTTGAGGGAGAAACATTTTATGTTACCAAAGCTTTATGAACTATTTAAGAAATTATTTTTCTAACAATGTTTCCATTCCATCAGTTATCTTCATGTTTATTAATGTCCGTTTTTATCCTCCTTGGATTTTCCTACATTTTGTGAGGTCCTCACTGGCTCAGCCAATGGGCTTAAATGAGGCAAAGGTTTTGATGACCCACCCACACTACCTTGCTGCCTTTTAATATAGTTAACCTGACAAAGCAAGTGACAGACAAGAGAAAATAAGCAGCTCACAACAAATGAAAAGTTGATGATTTTTTTTTTTAAAGATAGCTTTTAGGCATTATGTAAAGTATTTATCATCAAGTTTTTTGGGGGGGATAATTTTTACTTCTATGTCTTACAAAATACTTACATGGAAAAGTAATTTTTCCTTTGCTTTCAGGCCCTAGTCACACTTTTGGTCTTGCATCAACAAAATTTTTGGCTTTAAACAAATAAATTCACTTGGTTTTTTGCAATTAATCATATACTGTAATAAAATGATTTCCAGGGTACAATCACACAAAATGTCAGCTATTAAAAAAAGTTTCAATTTAAAAATCATGTCCTGTGATGTCTGCATATATGGCACATTTACATTCTTTAGAAACATTTTCCCAAGGCCTCCATTTTATCAGCCTTACCTTGTCTATTCTCTTCTCCATAAAACTGAGTAAAACATGAATGGCTTCCATATTCATACCATTGTATACCATGGTATTGTTTTTCAAAACAGTTTCTTTCTCAGCTGTTTTATCACTGGGTAGTTCATCTAGTGTCGTTGCCTCTTGGGCCGTTTCTTCATGGGTTAATGGACAAATGAGAACATCCAAACAAGAGACCGGAACATTGCTTAAAAGGTTGACTGCATTGCTGAAAAGCAATTTAAAAATACAATATTTTGATTTCATTCAATAGTCCTTTAAAATGCAAACATAATAAGAAGTTCAGAAATGACTTCTAGGAGTCAATTAAAATTTTTCTTTTTCAAAACAAGCCTTTAATATTACTTGGCATTTACTGACTAAGAGACAGAAAATAAAGAGAACTGTTTTAAATACACATATGACAAATTAGAAAGAACAGATGTTAAATGGACACACACAATCACATGATGCCATGTCACTTTCTGAAATGCTAAAATAGGAATTAGTGTGCTTTAACACCAGCCCTTTAATTTTATTATGACACAATGCTAGCCTTATATTTTTTCCTTGGGGTTTTAAATCCTTTTGTGGAGCTACTGGTGTTTTATTATTCCTTAGATTACAACATAAAGCATCTGAGAAGCTGTATATAAGCAGCTTATCACAGAGGCAACAACATTAAAACCCAAATATTACAGGATTAAGTTTTGTTCTTTCTACGTATAAAAAATACAATTTTTAGATCATCCCATTTTTAAAAAGACATTAGCAGAAAATGGTTAATGGTGCTTTTCCTCCTTTTCTCATCATCAGGTCTCTTTAAAAGAGGCCAACATAGCCATTTCAAATCTTTATCCCCTAGGCCTTTCTGCTACCTTATTAATGAACACATGCACCTGGGATGCACACCAGTAGGGGGAACCCAAACCTTGTGTTTTTGGTATTCCCTAAAAATCTTGTTCTGTTGCTCAGTGTGTAAGAGATTAAAGTGACACTAATAATTTAAAAATTAGACATGTTCTCAATTAACAGATTTTCCTTCAGGCATTATTTCACATTCTTTCATCTAAAAGGAGGTGGTGTTCTCTGCTAACTGGATCTTCTAAGCCTGTGCCTCAGAACTTCCTGATAAACAACAATGGAAAGACAGGCATTACATTTCCTAGTGACAGAGAAGCAGATCTAAAAATAACCACATCCTGACTAAAAATAAACTCTTGCAAATGCAATCAAAAAGTCTAACCACTTGGAAACCAAACTCAGGGCTTAATCTATCTGATTGTGTCTTAATTTAGACCATAGTAGTTCCTTTTAATTTAGATTATAGTGACAACCTCAAAAATAAAAGTAAACAGCAACAAAACAGAAATAAAATACACATTCATTTTTTTTCTTTCAATCTGAAGTATAGCTCTCATTTCTCCAAGAATGAGTATTTCCTTCCTTTCTTTTTATATTATGGAAAAAAATATTCATAAGAGATCAAAGTTTAAAAATTAGACAATGCAGAACAATGGGTAGTAACATAAAGGGTATCAAAAAAATCTGAGCCACGAACAAAAATAACAAATCCTATGAATGAATGATTCCTGGTAAAATACAAGTTATTTGGTGGTCCCCACGAAAAATCTTGCTGCTGCTGTGATTACTACCTGCTACTGTTAAACAATGGCCCTAATTTTGGTTATTTGTAAAAAATCACAATTGGTTGAAATACAATGCTTTTCCCACAAACTTTCTTTTAAAAATTTTTGCAGACATCTGTAGTTCTTTATCTAGACTTAAAAATGTTTCGCTTCTGACTTAAGCATTTGGAAACTGTTGTTAAATATCACAGATTCACTGGGGATGAAAACAAACAAAAGAACTCTACCATAGAATTACTTTCTAAAACTGTATAAACCATTTTGAAATGTTAGGATTTTTTTTTTCAACACACGGGGCAATAGGCACTGGAGTCCTCTGATAGTATGATTCTCTAAATCTACCATAGAGACCACACTGAAAAGTTTAAGACAATGTATTTCATTACAAAGGAATGTTTCCCTTTAAATTCATTTAAAATAAGCAGTTTCCAGGAATCCAGTAAATTTAAGAAACCAAATGTAGAGTTTGATTCAACAAATATTTGGAGGTTTTAGGCTTTTCAAGGAAAGTTCCCATTTTCTCGTTTCTTATTAAACAACTGGGTTTCCAAACAACTACAAAATTAATTTTCTGGCTCACTGTGTTTGAGCTATTCTTTTTAAGTAAGGAAGGCCCGCTTTTTGAGCTCTGTCACTTCTCTGACAGTTTTATTTGTGGTAGAAGAGTGTATGAAATTCTCCAGCTACCAGGAAGTCAGTGACTATGCACAGATCCGCACAATGGTGTTTGCATTCCTACTCCAGGGGGTAGAAATACTGTGTATATTACTCTCCCCTTTTCAGCTTCCTAGAGATCATTAATCACTGGGACATGACATCCTCCCACTCCTGCTCCCAGCCCCCTCCTGATATGCAGATTCAAAAGCAATGCCTATTTAGAACTCCTTAATGCCCTGATTAAAGCCTTGTTAGTTGTGGGAGAGGGGAGGCAATCTAAAATCCAGTCCTGTATCAGTCCTGGACTAAACATAATCTAATACCAAATGACAATGAGGAGCATGATAATGGTACATGTAGACCTACAGCCATTAATAAATCTTCCCGGTTCAAATATATCTTTTTTATATTTGGGGCTCACATATCTTTTCTTTATGGCTAGAGAATTTATTTAAATGAACCTTAAGATCTCCAAAAGACTTTCTCCAAAAGATGTAAATTCCTAATTTTAGCTCAATTCAGTAATTATTTATTACTTATGTCAGGCATTGTTTTATGAAGAAAAGAGACAAATCCCTGCCTTTATGGAGCTTATTTTCCAGCATGGAGAGGACAGTCAATGAAAAGTAAACAAAACAAGTAAGATGACTGAATAGCATGATAGAAGGTGATAAGTGGCCTGGTGGAGAAACCCAGGAAGGTAAGATAGAACAGGTGGGTTATAATTTTGAATAGGGTAGTCCTCACTAAAATGGTGCCATTTAAACAAAGACTGAAATGAAGTGAGGGAATGAGCCATGTGGACTACGTGGGAAAAGAACATTTCAGAAACAAAAGCAAGAGCAAAGGCTCCAAGGTAGAAAAAGTGGCATAACTGAAGAACTGTAAAGAAGTTGGTGTTGCTGAACCACCATATACAGGAAAAGGAGTAGGATAGGAGATCAGATAGGTATAGGAGGCCAGATTGGTATTGGAGGCTGTTATAATTTAATTTTATTCTCAGTGAAGTGGGAGCCACTGTAGGGTCTTGCCTGGTGATATACTCTTATTTACCTTAAAAGGGTCACTCTGACTACTGCATTGAGAACAGAGGGTAGGACATCAAAGATGAGAAGAATCAGGATGTCACTATAATAATTCAGGTGATTGAACATGATGATAACAGTGAAGTGGTTACATCTGGATATATTTTGAAAGACATTTCTTGACAGGCTAGTTGTGAAGCGTGAGAATCCAAGTTCTAGCCTTTCTTAGCAAGTGGAAAGCTGGAGTTGCCATAAACTGAAATGCGAAACACTGCCAGAGAAGCAGCTTTTTAGGGGAAGATTAAGAGTTTAATTTTGGATATGTTAAGTTGGGGATATCTATTAGACTTCCAAGGGAAGATGTTAATAGGAAGTTAGCTGCAAGAGTCTGAAGTTCAGGGAGGGAGATCTGGATTAGAGATAGAAACTGAGGAGTTATTAGCATGTGGATGGTGTCTGAAGATAAAAGGTTGGATTAGATCAGTGAGGGAATGAGTATGGACTGAAAAACTAAGAGGGCTGAACCTGGGGCACTCTGTTGTTTAGAGGCTGAGGAATTGAGGAAGAAATTACAACTAGTGAGGTGGGAGGAAAACCAAGATAGTATGGTGGTATCTTGGAAGAAAGTATATATGCAAAAATGGAGTGATCACGTTGTCAAATGATGTGGACAGATCAAGTAAGATGACAAGTGAGAAATGTCCACTGGGTTTATTAGCAACATGGAAGTCACTAGTGACCTCAATAATACCCATTCTGGTGGAGCAGTGGATCCAAAGCCCAAGTAGATCAAATTCAAGAGAGAACAGTAGAAGAACCAGATAGTCAAGAGAAGACTGGAGCAGCTGCAGGTGAGAAGTGTCTAGAAAACTTTGGATAAGATATGGATGGAAAGACCCCTGAATGCTGCTCTCAGCAAAGCATAGCTTTTTAACCCACAGCAACCTGGTCATTGTTCTCCAAACGTGCCATAGACACAAACTCTTTTCTGTATTTGGCCATGTGTTCTCCTGCCTAGCATGTTCTCATTCTTTAAGACTAGCCTAAACCTCACTTCATTTCACAACAAATATTTACTATGCCTTGTGCTAGGTGCTAAGTATACAGTGTAAAGCAAAGGACAAGGCCTCTAAAGGAGGGGCCTTAGTAGGCAATGAGAGCAGAAAAGTACATGTATGTCTGTGTGGAGTGGGGTAGGGGTATTATAAAGGGGACTGCCATGATAAGATGTAGGTTATAGCCAGATGGGTTACTGATGACCTTAAACCAGAGTTATTCTGGCAAAAAAGGTGCAGAAGCCAGGGAAACATAGATTTCCCCAATAAGGCTGCAGATTATTAATAAATGCAAAACGACAATACAAGCTTGCTCTTAAACATAAAGACAGAGGGGAGCCATAGAGGATTCTAAGCAGAGATCTGCTTTTTGAGAAACAACTCTGCATGCAGGGGAAAGGATGGACCAAACTGTTGGGTTAGGTAAAACTGTCCCACAGGACTGAGCCGCCTGAGTTCAGAAGTGGAGAAAGAAGGTGGCCTGCCGGTTCTGGGGTTGGGTGCTTCAAGACTGGCAGGACATGACAACGAGGGCGTACAGATTAGGTTGAAATGATGAACCAATGCTTGAGAATAGGGAGGGAAGAAAGCAAACCCATAGGGGGCTCATAGGTAGGAGAACAGCAATCACCAGGAGACCAGAGGTCTGGATGAGGATGGAGAACAAGTATAGTATGAGTAAGGAAGACTTTCCTCCTCATGTTACACCATAGTGAGCTAGTCCTTTAAATTCTATTAGCAATTATTATTTGGACAATTAATTCACTGGGAAACTACTCAAAAACTATCTTGTGATAGCTCTTCGATTATGGCCTTGAATTATTTTTTAACTTTTCATAATAT